TACAACCGATGAACTTTATTTTGATATAAAAATAAAAATTATTTCTTAATAAAATTGTAAATTTTAATATAGAGAGAAAATTTCGATTTTCACTATGTTTTATTAATAAATTTAGCCCCTGATGCATTACTTTTGTCCGCCACCGTATTAAGTATTAATAATGATCAAATTTTAGTAATTGATTCGATACTTAATTTATAAAAAGTTGAAAGTTGACTATTAATGATTTTTCAATTCAGGTACAAAGTGCTATTAGTGGTACTATTTGATAAGATATTTGGAAATTTGGACCACTTTGGACTAAATTCAAGAAATTTGTTTGGACAAATCCGAATGCCAACCCTAGTAATTAACATAAAATAAAAATATATATTTTATATGATGTATAATTAAACACATTAATAGACTTTTTATTTTTCTGATGTTGTATGAATATTTCAATAGAATGTGCATGTGCCAACCTTCCTTTACTAAAAAATTTTGTTTCATAAAAGTTTTTAAGTACTAAAGATTAAATCCTAATTAACTCATCGTAATTTTCGATATCATATATTAAGATAGTGCTGAGATCAAAAATAAAATAAGTTGCAGCTCGCGGGATTTGGAGACAATTGTACCCATTCGCTAAATTCGTGTGTTCGAGTGATATAGGGACATTGCCAAATTTATTCCACTTTAGTACAATTTATATATGTGTGTCGATTAGTCCGTAGTAATTCTCGTGAAGTCAGTCATCTATATTTTGTAAGAATATCTGTAGGAGCTGCTGAAAAAGTAGTAAAAACAATGGCATCCGGAGCTAAGATGAATTTTTTTCGTTTAACCATTAATGGTATTCGACATACAATTTGTGTCATTCGTATTGTATAAGAAATGAATCTTGATCTTACAATTTTAACTTTATGTCCTCAGGAAATCTTTATAGAACGATATAAAAATTCAATAAGCTTGGCTTGTCCTTATTTATAAAGTACGTGGTGGTGTTATCGCTATTAATTTCCATTTTAGTCTAGAATAGAATATCAACGCCAAATTCTGCATATTTTTAATTGCTGCATTCATAATTTTGGGAAACGAATTTTCGGGCAATCTCCAAACAAATCGAATTAATTAATTCGACGTAATTAACGGCGGCGAAAAAACACATCTAAATAAAAAAAAAGAAGAGTTTTTGTGTATGAAAATTTAAATGAATCTTTCAGGAATTTTTGTGCTGCTACGAAGAAAATGAATTACTAGTATTATTATGGTATATGATTAAAGAAATGGGATCCCGAAAAATGAAAGTTCGAAAGAATTGCCGGACGTGATGATATTGTTACTTTTCCCTTTGAAAATTTTCTGACGCAATATGAGATCGAGTAAGAAGCGGACTATTAAAAGAAGAAACTTGAAGAAACAATGAAGAATGTATTGCTAACCTTCCTTTTAGATTTTCCCGTGTTAGAATCATCATCAAATTATTAAAAAAAATGAGAATTGAAAATGCGAAGCGTTCATCGAAGAAGCCAATTAAAATCAAATAAAAAATAATATTTTCGAAAATATTATGATTATTTTCTTAAAATCATTACTTTTTTCCTAGTAATAAACGACCTTGGATCGCATTGGGCTTAATTTTCGCACATCAATGCTTTTTGCTTGTCCTTCCAATACCATCTCTGCAATTACAAGTCCTGTACCCGTAGAATTTAATATCCCCCAGACAGAATGCCCTGATGCAATATAAATTCCCTCTAACCATGGAACTTTTCCTATGAGCGGTCGATTATCTTCGGGTATTGGCATAAAACAGCATTGTTCCTTGACAACTGGCGCCACGCCAAGAACATCAGGTGACAAGATGTGAATATTACTCTTTAGATTTTGCATCGCAATCTCACTTGGGATATACTCATTGGCAGTTTCTGGAAGTTCACCGCCGTCCAATTCGCCAAATATGTAAACATCACCATCTGGTCGTGGATAAATTTCTGGCTCGACAAATTTTCGTCCTGTATTCAGTGAGATAAAACAAACGTGTGGTGATAGTAAGACAGGCGGGCGAATTATGAGACTGTGTGCCCGTTGACCCGTTATGTCCGGAAGATAATGAGATCGTCCACTTTTTTTAATAAGCCAATTGAGTGCTTTTCCACTCCATGGACCCATCGCGATAATCACATCATCTGCGTCAAGAATATTTCCATTGGATAAACGAACACTCACGATTTTATTTCCGTCAAAAATAAAACCTTCTGCACGAGCAATCAATACATTAGCACCACGCGATTCGGCTTCTTGGATTAATAATTGAGTGAACTTAAAAGGATGAAGTTGCGCAGTCGTTTGAGTATTGCCGACCTCCTTGAATTTCGTTATTACACCTCTTTTTAACCAATCTGTAGGAGTTGGTTTATTGCTAACAGCTTTAACCGAAGCAGACACTGACAAAGTATCAACAACACGCCAATCATAACGTTTTTTTCCATCCAGTTTCTTCGCAAGTTCACAATGCATCTCGAAACTTTTGTGAGCCAAATCTTCTTGCGGTCCCCCATTACACCATTCACGAGCCAAAAACCCACTATGAAAAAAATATCAAAGTCAAGTTAAGTAATAAATTTAATATTTTTTTCTGGACCTTTTACTTAGAAATAATAAAATGAAATATTTGTGTATCAAGAAATTTCAAGTTATATACGATAATTACGCTGCTTTTCCTGACGCAGCACAGGCAATACTTGTCTGTTCCACCACCGTAACTTTTAGTGTTGGATCTTTATTTAGCAGAGTAATATGATAGGCGATAGATGAGCCTATAATACCACCTCCAAGGATGACAATATGTCTACCGGAAGCTTTGTCTTTGGGCATTTTTTTATTTGTTTTTGTTAAACAAGAAAAAAAATTGTTTTCAGCTCGGTTAATTAATGATGGATGGATAAATGAAAGAGAGTTTAATTGTTTGGTTCAAAAACGCACCATTTTTAATGGATTCTTTTGGCTGACCATTTTGTGGCATGTCCGAAAAAAATAGACAGATTACGTAATTGCATCAAACTCGCGCTAGTCTTTATGATTTTATATTGCTAGAAAGTTCTTCGTGAAGTGCAGGCATAAAGTATTACAACGCATAGTTCTCTCATTAACAAAAAGTTGATCAAGGATCTTATTGGTGGCAGAAAGACCAATCAAAATACTATTCAGTGCATTGTATATCTCATTTTTCTATAGGTGTATAAGATCCTCAGTTTAAAAAAAATTTATGCATTTCTATTTGATAACATGCATTGTTCCGAGTCGCTAATATTACATGAATAGGATGAATACTCGGAAAAAGTTAGCGTTAGGTTATCTTATTTTGACATAGATTAACGAATTTTAATATTAATTTGCAAGTTATTCGTCAACTAGATTGTTTTTTCATTAATAATATCGTTTTATCTGTTAACCAATGTTTTTCTTCAAATTGAACTTCAAAGTCACGACGTAGCGTAAATGTCACAGATACGCCCACCAAATAAACATGTGATAAAAATTTTGATGTGTATTTTTTTAAATGTTCATATCTTCATATCTACACACACCAAGATTGAAGTCACCACTGTTCCATCTGGGATATTTTGCAATCGTTTTTAACTTGAACGTTATAATCTTAATTGAATGAATTACAACTCATTCTCGATTGGTAAATCTCTCGTTTTATTGAAGAATTTTCTCAGGATCACTAATAAACTATCACCTGATATAATGAAAGTCATATATTATTCTCTCGATATTAGTTTTCCCTATCTCCGATGTTTCACTATAACGAGAGTTATTTTTGATCGATAAAATCATTCATAAAATTTGCAATTCTTTTCAATACTTTTTCAGTCATACTTAAATGAATAAAAATTTGCACATAGTGGGAAATTGGCATCCTCGCAACTTTAATTTCCTAAAGTATGTATAAATTCAATATAAGTATGCTCGTTCTGTCTACATATGGGCAAAATGAGCGGCAGTCTCGTGACTTTCGGCATGTGTTTAACAATACATGTCATGCATTAGACATCGAGTGTTTATAAAAATTGATTCAATAGATAAAATTTTCTAGATGATTAATATCATCATTGCTCCTTTTGTATACCGGTACGAACAATGCTCGTAAATTGATATATTCAAATTTTTACGCATTAATAAACAAAGTTTAGCAGAAAATTTACAAATGATTTATCCCATGGACGAACTTACTACATACATCGCTTATAGAATACTTATCTCGTAGTTATTAATGTTCTTCTTGCATGACTTAAAATGAAACCATAAAAAATGCATAAATATGTATCAATACAAAATACAAATAAAATATTTAAATCAAATTTTTTTGTGCCCAAATTTTCTTCAATACCAATCCAGTCTTATAAGTCACAATCTCATCCTTACAAACTTGCCAATGCTCCTTGTATTCTTCGATACTGAGTCCCAGATCGGCAGCAAATGTTTCCGTCACCGAACACTGAAAGAAATCGTCGACTAATTGCATGAAAAGTTTTCCGGAGATCCCGCCCTCCGACTCATTTAGTATTATTATGCGTCGGTCAGTTTGTATATTTACAAAGCCACTTAATGATACTAATGAGTCGAGTTTTTGTGACAGTTTAACGTCCATGTCATGCCTTGCTAATAGAAGTTTGACTTGAAGAGAACGAAATAAAAAAATTTAATCTAGACGATTGAGTTTGTCAAATCAAATGAAATGAATATTTACATGATTCTATGAACTTTCGAAGTATTGGACCTTCATTTATAAAAGAGTCTTCGGTTTCTATTATTTCAATGTATCCGCCCGGCTTAAGAATCCTATGAGACGATGGTTATTACATGGATTGAATTCATCAACCTCAATTATGTAAAATTTGAATAATACCGCAATGAGTCGCGAATTACTTCAAGATATTGTAGTTCATCAAAAGAAATTGCCATCGAAGCAAGTCGCACAAGTTCAAAAGTATCTTTTTCAAATGCTAACCCATCGAGAGCATTAGCTTGTTTGAAATGTGCATTAGGTGGTCGAATCTGAGTTGGATAAATTTCATGAATATCAAATCCATAAAACTCTGAGCAAGGGTAATGAGAAGCCATATCCAGTATCCATGTACCAGGTCCACATCTTTTATGAGCAAAATAATTTACAATTTTTAGTAATGTTTTAAACTTACTTTGGAGGCTCAGAATTATTTTCAATTACATATAAATACGAAAAGGATGAAATATAAGAAGTACCCAATATCTAACACCAATGTTCCCTCATTCAATTTATCCTCGATTGGCGGCGAAAACCGACATTCGAAAATATGTTTATACAAAAAATACTTGTATTGTGTACGTTCTATTTCCTTGATACTTTCTGGCATGAAAAGATCTTGACTCCGATCTGTTTCTTCGTTTTGTGTGACCTGTTCGTTGTGACTTGGACGGCGGCGTTCTTTTCTCAGTCTAGATTTCGAATTCCCCATTATTTTCTCGAAATTAGATTTTACAAATATCGATTGATTTCGTCCCAGTGAGAGTCAAAATACAATTTTTTTTAGATTGTGTATTTTACTTATTATTACTATTTTTAAAGGAACGTTTTAAGTAAAGTTAATAATATGTGTGTTAAATTTTGTGATAGAGAGAATGAGCTCAACTCCTTACTTATTTATCGTGTAAAGCTGCGAGAATAATTAATATACAAATAGCTTTCTTTAGATGCACGCACAAACACATAATATATCTATCGTATACATATATGTATGTTCCTATCAAATATTTTGCCTATGTTTTAGATTACTTCTATCAGAATTTGTAAATGCAGAGTTGTATAAGGTAATAATGACTTCCAATTCGTCTCTTTAACTCTATTAAGGTTTAAAATCATGCAGCTTGTGACGCCAAAGATTTTTAACTAGATTTCATTTTGTTCTACGTACATGTATATCGATGTGTTCATCCATTAATAAACGCCCGCTCGACCTAATGTCAATATTATGGTTAAGACACGAAATAACTGATTTCCCATTCATAACCTTGTTTGACAGTTTTGGGTGGGAAAATTTCTAATCTAGTTTTCCTGTGTTCATATATTATTTAAGCTCCAATTATTGAAAGTTTTTTTCACCATTTAATTCTCTTGAATTTAAACTAAATGATAACAGACATTTTTAATAATAAAAAAAACAATATTTCACAATCACAAGCATGTAATTAACATTGCGATGCCTTTATCTGCAGCATATCGTTCATGTTTGGGTGTACGGATTCTTATTCGTTGAAAAGTACATCTATATCTACTCTTTACATGTACATGTACATGTACGGTGCTTTTTCTATCCAATAGGTATATTTACCAAATAACGTTATTTATTATCTGCACGTACAGTATTACAGGTACATGCATTTCTCAATGAATGCATGATGTAATTTTTTTGGATCGTGATCGCAGAATCTCGATTTTAATGAGTTTAGAGATCTTCTCAACTACATGTACATATTTCTGAATAATATTCATTTTTATATTTAAAAATTTGTTTTCAAAAATGGCATGCCGTTACAGTCTTTTTTGATATATTAGGAGAAAACGTAAAGGTACGCAGAGACTTGAGATGTGATTAAACGAATAACTGCTAAATAAATACGTATTCAATATATTCCTCATTAAGAATCCATTATATAAGCAAACAAACAATCTTATATCATCTAATATAAATAATATAAAAAAAGGCATGGTCCGGTGCAAAAAGATTCTTCATAACTACTGATCCAAACTTTGAGCTTTGAAAGATAGGTTTAGAAAAGATAAGGCATATATGCTTGCATAATTTGAAGTACTTCTAATAAAAATTATTCAATTTAATTAATCTTTAAATAAGAATAACTTAACTTTTCATATTAGTTTTTTCTGTTGTACTTTTATTCAATAATAACAATACTTTATAAAAAAAAAAGATAAACATACATTTTATGCATTATTTTTATCAATTTGTAATGTTAGAAATTATTAATTTTTCTTCTGAGATACAGTGAAAATAAAGAGTAATTATATGCAATTTGTATAAATGAAACTTTTTATTGTATAAATTATAAATCAAAGATATAAACTTTATGAAACACGATATTTATCTAAAATGATGTGTCAAAAATAAACAAGCAAAAAATATTATTTAATTATATTATTTGCTAGATTTAGAATTTTCAATAAAAAATTTAGAACAATATAAAAAACTCGACTTTCTAAGCTAGTGGTCTGAATCGAAACATATTAATATTAATATCAAATATTTGACTTAACCAGATATCGAGTTATCCAACTAATTGAACAATTGAGATTATCCAACTAATTGAGCAATTCGAATTACTCAATAATATCTAAATTAAATCTGAACTATTTATTATCAATCCAATCCGACTTCTGTCATTAAACTTGACATTGCAAAGGTTATATAATACAAAGAATTTAATCAATGCTAATTACAAGTGCAATTATATTTTCTTTGTCTTTGTATATTGTAGAATGCTTTCAATTCATAAATAGCTATATGATAATAAAAAATTTTAGTTTTCTCTTTTTCATTATAACTACGGGGGGAAGAAATATTGGATGTTTCGCACGTTTTTAAATTGATTTATATCATTGGATCTTGTGTTTTTTTTTGACAATTATTTTATAATAAATTATTTACATATAGTGACAATCTATAACCAAAACAATCTCATCTTCATATGATGCATCCAGATGTTATAAAGCTACGCACAATTTCCTCTCAAAAAATCGCCCTTTAAATTTTATCACATAATGTACTGTGAAAAAGAATTAACAGAAAGTCAGAAAGATGGAACCATTATTGCAAAAAAACTTGGTCACACACATATCAAGATCTTTATGGCTGTAGATTATTCTGTGGTTCATGTGGTTGCATGCAGATTTGTTACAAATTGGTAGATGATCTACTTGTTTTTTAGATAATTTTTTAAGCTCATGTGCTTCTAACATTCTATAAATAAATAAAATTAATTAAAAAAAATTATTCAATATTTCTTTTATCTTCTTTCTATAGATGATCTGATTATTTTTTAGATAATTTTTTAATCTCATATGCTTCTAATATGTGAATCACAGAATAATTTACAGTCTTAAAGATCTTGATATATATATATGATCAAGTTTTTTATAATAATATTATTATCTTTCTAACTTTCTATTAATTCTTTTTCACAACATATTATATAATAAAATTTAAAGAATAATTTTTTGAGAGAAAATTATACATAGTTTTATAACTTCTGAATGTATTATACAAAGATAAGATTTGTTTAATTATAGATTATCACTATATATAAATAATTTATTATAAAATAATTGTCAAAAAAATACAAGATCTAATAATATAAATCAATTTAAAAAGATATAAAATATCTAATATTTTTTTTCTCTTTCTTTATATAATTTATATAATATAAAAATTAGTATATAATATAATTAATACTTTTCTAAAAAATTGAGTAAGTTAATTAAATTCAATTAATTTTTTTTAATCTAATAATATTATATATTTTGTTTTTAATAAAAATAAATTAAAATATAAATAAATTATAAAGCTTTATATATTAATTTTATAAGAATTATATTATCTAGTAAGTTATTAAAAAATAAGATATATATTAAAAAAAAAGTTAATAAAATATTTTATTTAAATTTTTTTATAACTTTTATATAAAAAATTAAATTATTAAAATAATAATTATTATTTTTAATTTATATACTTATATTTAATCTTAATAAAAATAATAATAAATAAATTTTTATTTATAAATATATATTTTTTAATATATTAAAATAAGATTTTATAATATTATAAAATATATTAAAATAATATTAATTTATAATATAAATATATAAGAAGTAATAGATTGAAATTTTTAATAATTAAAAAAAATTAAAAAATTATATAAAATATTTTTAATAATTAATATTAAATTAATTTATAAAAAATATAATTAAAATATAATTATAATTTTCAAAAATTTTTTGATTATTATATTTAATATATAATTATATCTCTTTAAAAAATATTTTATATAAAAATAAAACTTTTTATAAGAATTAAATTTTCTTATTTAATTAAATTTTTATAGAAATATGATTATATTTTACTTAAAAAGACTTTATTTTAATAAATTTTAATAAAAAATTTATAAAATAAAATTTTTAGCTAAAATTTATTAATTAATAATATATAAATATATTTATAAAAATTAAATAATAGTTATATAAATTTATTTATTAATATTTTTTATTTTTAGAGATATATTATTTAAAATATAATATTTTAATCAAAATATTAATAAATAATTATATAAAAAATATAATTATTATAATTTTTATAAAATATATAATAATACTTATAATAATAAAACTAAAAAGTTAATTTAAATAATAAAATATAAAAAAATTAAAATTTTTCTTTATATTAAAATTTATAATTTAATTAATAAATAATTTTTATTTTTATATTAAATAAATTTATAAAGCATAATTTAATATAATATTTTCAGATATTTAAATTTTTTTTGAAAAAGTTATTTTTATTATAAAAATTTTTTAACTAAAAATAAAAATTTAATTAGATATAATTTTCTAGTTATGTAATATAATATATTCAGATAATTTACACAAAAAAGTCAGAATATAATATTATATCAGGAAAATTCATATAGAAAATTCAAGATATATAGCAATGTTATTTAAAATAGAATTCACATAGAAAACTAAATCAAAAGCAAACAAGAAATTATGTTTTTAAACTTATTCTTTATTAATGGTACTTGATACTTAAAATTACAAAACAGATATAATATCTTTAAATAATAAATTAATATTATATAAAATTAATAATAAAATAAATAAATTAATAATAGATA